TTCGGCCCTTTTGGTTGATTTTTGGGGGAATTATTTTGGTAATTTGTATTTTTAATTATCATCCTCAAAAATTATTATTTTCTTTAATTTTTATTTCCCATCTTTTAAATATTTGATCATCTTTTTTTTTTAAACCAAATATTTGATCATCTTATTTCCTTACCTTATTTTATCCTTGATTATTCCCCAAGTAAACCTCTTTTTCCATATTATTTTTTATGACAACATACTTTACTTAATTTTTATATTTTTAATCACCTTAATCTCAAACTTCCCATATTTCTTTAACACTCTTCTCCAAGTAATTTCCTTAATTATTTTTATCATAATTCTTCCTACATTCTCTTACTATAATTCATGCATGAGCTAGCCTATAAATACCCATTGATTCATGGCTAAACACTCACACCAAATTCTCTAATTCTTTCTTTCTCTCTCTTTAATTTCTCTTCTCTTTTTCTTTTCTTTTCTTTTCTTTCTTGCGCCACCACCACCAATCACCACGACCACCACCTCCATGCCGGCTGCCACCCTCCCCAACACCAACCACCACTTCGGCAGCCACTTGCCGCTGGTTGCCGCCCCTCCTTGCCGCCACCTTTCTTCCTCCTTTCCTTGCTTTTCTACTTCTATCTTCTCTTCTCTTATTTAATTAATTATTATTCTTATTATGGGGGAATTATAAAAAAAAATATTATGAGTAGTTTTAATTAAATAAAATCAGATTTTTATTCATGTTCATGAAAAATAATTTAAAAAGATTCATGTACATATAGAGTTAGGGGTTTTAATTTAATTATTGTGATTATTTGTTAACCTTATATTAATTAAGGCTATATTTATTTGTAGGGTGTGTTTGATTCAAGTGCTTGAAGTTTCTTTGTGTTTGCTAAGCAAGGACCAAAGGTACGTTAGGTGGCTAGATACTTTTGAAATTAATTAGATTGAATGAGCATGTTTTACATAATTTTTATGATAATTGAATCAAATTGAATTGAATTATGATCTATGAAATAAAAGCATGTTTAAAAAATTGGTTTGATAAATAAATTGGAAGGTTGATGTTATGTTTGAATGGTTTGAATTATTTATCATGTTTGAATAAAGAAATTGATTTGAAAAGTTTGATGAATTAAATAAAAAGTTTTTTCAAAGGAAGAGTTATTGATTTTGAAAAGTTATTAATATGAGATTTAATTCTCAAGTATTTATAAAAAGGTTGATTTTGAAAGCATGTTGAATTAAATAAAAAGGAGTTTTGAGTTAACCTATTATAAAGGTTGATTTTATTCAAAGAGGAATTTTATGAGGATTTATTGAATTATTTATTAAAAAGCTTTACAAGTATGGTTATTATATTAATCCCAATATGCGGATTCATTGAAAGCTATGGACTTTGTATGACCTAGTCTTTCTCCAAGAATAGCCTTGAAATAGTAGGAGACTATGGGGGGTGTGCACACTTAGAGAGGAGGTTGAGTTTTCGAAAGTAATTGATCTTACTAATCATTATTATTGAGTTATTGAGTTACTGGAATTAATTTGAGATTATTGAGAATTGGTTTTCAAAAGAGGAATTGATTCTACAAATCATTTCATTGAATTATTGAAAATTGGTTTGAATCATGAGTTTTGGAATTCATTGGAATAATTATTGGAATTGATTTTAAAAGCATGATTGCTAATAAATTGAATTTACTTATCTTGCACTTATCGTACTTAGCATATTTTGCTAATCCGTATTTCTTATTTGTTTTGGTTCGCCCTGTTTACCGTAATGGTAAGCAGTGTGACTAATTTCAGGTGGAGTCAAGAATTGAGCATATGGGAGTCCCGGGAATGTTCTTCACCTAGATTAGGAATGTTGGTCTTTGTCTAATTATGAGTACCCATGACGATGGTTACTATTTATATTATTATTAATAAAGAAAGAATTGAAGTTTCCGCTGCAAAGTATTGGTTTTGGTTAGTAAGTTTGAGTAGCCTTACGTAATCACGCGGCGGTAATACGCCTAAGTCTATTTCTACAGTATAATTATACGTATTATACTAGTATTTCTGTAGAGGGAGATTTAGGGGTATTACACATATATATGATATGTATATTTTTGAAGTTTAAGTTTTGCACATTTTTTTTATTTTTTTTAAAAATTAAGCATGTGTACAATTGAAAAGTTAAAAGAGTTACCTTTTATGCTTAAGAAACAATGAGTATATATTAATTTGAATTGATATTATAATTATAATTTAATTGATTTTATTCTACATTGAAAGATATTTTTTCAAACTAAGCCTATTAATTTAACTAAATAATAAGACAAATTAATAAGAAAACTGACAAAAAATAAAAATGTAGAAAAAAAATACTAATTTGAATATAACACATCGTATTAACAAGATTGAACATTTAATATGTGATTTCAAAACCCAAAAAATTATAAGATGACGTCATTGTGATGTAAGGGGGTGTAGGTAAAAATTTGTTTCTATAAACAACCTTATTTTTAAACCTAGTCTAATTAATTATGTAATTTTTAATCCCTGAGATCAACACGAGTCCATCTCGCCTGCCTGTGGAAGCTAATGCATTGTTAATTAGGGAGCTACGTACGTAAATTTGCGTGTGTTCTTGATTGTAAATTTCGCTAAATTTGTTTTTCGCTTTAGCTCTTACATAATGGAAGTACTTTATGAGTACATATTGATTATTCTAGCTAAAGTTGCAATACAAGGATTTGATCTAATTAATCAACTCCGTAGCTAGTAGATTTAAGAGCTATATATATTGATTATATAGAAAGGAAATGAGACACTTCTCTCTCAAGATGCATAAATAAAAGCTCTCACTGAAACATTTGCAATGAAACTTTAATTCTTATTTAATTTGAATAGATCTCAAGAACAAGTTAATTACATACAGTTTCGTAAAGCAATAAATCAATTTACAGCTTAAATTATTTGTCTAATCTAGGAAACCTATAACCAAAGCCTCATAATATGCAATCTAGATATTATTACTATCATAAAAGAATGAAACTGGAAACTGGGATAGTGATCCCAAATACATATCAATCTTGTGAACATCATTGTACAATAATAACACTCTTATTCGATAATCACGAACGTAGAATTGTTATGCTCGAACTTCTTACGCTTCCGTTGAATAAAAACCTCGGCCTCACAATTAACGTCCCCTTCACATTTCTTAAAATCACCATGCTTGATAGCATTCTCCACCTTACTACGGTCATTTACTGACTTCTTTTGGTGGCTAATCTTGTATGGCGGCGACAATATGTAAGAGAAGTAACTCTCACGTTCATCTAGGCTACGAACGTTACTATTGTTGTTGTTAAGGTTGGAATTCGGCTGCTTCATCTACACTCGCTCTCACTCAATCAACTGATAACTTCTACGTACGTTTTTTTTCAATCTTTTTTTGTTTTTCCTTCTTTGTCTTTGATTCGCTGGAGTTTTTGTCACAAGGTTAAACAACAACTAAGATAAATACCTCTATATATATGCAAGTAATTGATTTTACGTGTGCTCCTATACATTGATGAATGATAGAAGGGAATCTGATACTCTTTGATTGCTTTTACGTTGGCATTGAAAATAGAGGCGCAGTTAGTTGAAATTCAACTTAAGAAGCTTAGAAGCAAGTTGAATGAATTTCTTAAAGGAAAAGGTATACATAATTGTAGGTTTAACGACTTTATTCCTTGTTTGAATTTTCCCATGCAATATTACAAGCGATCTAGAGGAATATTTCGGTTCAAGTTAAAACTAAAGTTTCAAAACTTTGATATGATAATATCATAAAGAAACGAAAATATCCCAAATATTTAAACACTCATACATCACAAATTATGATAACATACCATGTAGAAAAATAACTTGATTTATCCACCGGATAGATTATCAACCAACCGCGCGCTCAAGTAATCAAAGATGACACTTATAGTAGAAGGAAAATTAATTGGGACATTCTATATGGCTCTTCTCTAATTTTATTACTTACATATGGTAACCTATGAAGGATTACCTTTCAGGTGTTCATATGATAACCTTCTAGTTTTGTGGGAATATAGCAAGCCTATTATTATTGTCAAACCACAACAATAAATACTCCCTTTGTTCCTAATCAAAATATATGCTTCAAGTAGTATATTTTATACGTTATTTTATGTTTGGTTGATTGAACTTAATAAATAATACTCTGTAAATAATTAAGGCCGCATATTGTTAATAATATTCAGAGTAATAGCGATTAACGAATGAGAGGGTATAAACACACTTGATATAGAACACGAAGCATGTATACTAGAAAAAACTTGTGTGTGGCCATATTTGTTTATAAGAACCTATTTATTCATATGAATAACCACATTTATTCGTAAGGGTAACCTTTTATTTTTTTTACCATAGGAGTGATCCTGGTTCACTATATGACTACAGTCTAACATTAATTAATCAAAAAGATAATTTTATTTGTTCATCCGACTAACTAATCTTCTTTTGTTTTTATTATTGAGGTAAGTGGTTAGTAATTTTTCCTAGGGGTGGAGCAATGGCACAGGATCATACAATAATTCGCCCATCCTTCCCCCTCAGACAATCCCATTTAATTTAGACCCGACATCGGCAAGTATATTGAAAGATTGACAAACATTAAAATAATTCAGCTGGTGCACAAAAGTTTGTCAAGTTGATAAAAAGGGAAAAGCCAAAAATATTCCTTATACAAAATAATACTTCCTCTGTTCCACAAATATTACAAAAAGATGAAATTACGCATCCCAAAGTACATTTTATATGTTAAATATCTATAATTATATAATAGTAAAAATTATAAAAAGTTGATATTGTAAAAGCATTTTACGGGACGAGTCTAACAAGACCCCACATAATTATATTTTACTTTACATATAAATTATAACTTGCGGTCAAACAAGCATGATGAATAGCGCAAAAGTCCAGTTGTTGCAATATTACTAGAATGGAGGAAGTATATCAATAGACAATAGGAAAATAGGTTTGAGTTGAAGATTCCACGTGTAATACACCAATTCTTGAAAAATTTCTAGGACAAGGTCTGTGTCACAGATCCACAGAAGCATTCAGCATACACATGCTGTAAAACCGGAAAGGAATAAGATTCGTTAACATCATATTAAAAAAAAAAAGAGAGAGACGTCAAGAGAAGAACACGATGAATTCTAACTGGTGAGCAGAGTCGTCTAAAGATAACTCCGTATATAACTAGAAGTCTGACTCAAAACTACATCTACAACAATATCATCAACTCATCAGCTACCAAAATGAGTACCTTGAATGAAACTGATGCTTATTTCTCGCACCTATTTTCCCTGCCAAAGAAACACAAAGATGAGCCTCCTAATGATTCGAGTAGAGACTGGAGAACTGGGAACATCAAATATGGAGAAGACATTAATGCTGAAGCTGAACAGTTCATACAGAGAAATCATAATGGTGCACGAAAGAAGCAAGAAGAAGATGTTGATAGTGAAGCTGAGGGATTCATTATCCACGAGCACCTCAAGTTTGCACTCAGCAAACGGATGTTCTCCAGCATTGAATGATCGAGAATTCCCAGCATTCAGCGGCAAGTAGCATGCATGATAACTGCATAATAATGCCTGCCATACTCTATTTTCTTGTTCCTTTTTTTCCATTTTCTGATAGATTCATCCTTCGCCACCTTAACACACTTGTTTGTCTCACTTTCTCTATTTCCTATGAAGTTTTTGACTTTTCTTGTTTGATTATGTTAATCATCATCAGATCGAGTCTCAAGGATATTTCCAAAGCTCATAGCATATGATTTTGCATACTATCACCTTATGTTCTACACAACATATAGGTAAAAAGAATAAACAAATTTCAAAATAAGAAGAGAAATTACTTATTTCTCTTCCTCTAAGAGGTACAGTTCATGACTTTATGGTAACAAAAATAACTGATGTGTGACCTGGGAGAACAAATGTTACAGAGAGAAGATTTTCATTGAAGTATACTAACCTTCATTCAACAGTGAAGGATAGGTTTGCTCTATACAACGAAAAATAATTTCTGAAAGTCACCTCGAAATTCACTGAAGCAGCAAGAGACATGTCCCAGCATTTCTCAGCAACTATAAAAAAAAAAAAAAAAAAACAAAAATACAAAATTATTCGAAACATGGAAAAGGCTGAATCTCAACTTGAAAGTATCTTCCTTTTACACTTCTCTATCTAGACTGTGGACATTAACAACAAATAGGGGGCAAATGAAATCATTTGGAAATTACCATCATGTTACTGTGTAATTCCATCACTAAGTGGCCGGGAAAATTCAGCAACTGAGCCGGTAGAACTACTTGAAGGTTCTGAATACCATTGATTCTCTTCTCGAGTGATGAAGGTAGCCTCTGCATGTACAATGTACTCCATATGTCAGCTTGCAGGGAACAAAAATTTAGTCCAGATTCAAAAATCAGGCCATAGAGCACAAAGACACAAGAGAAGTACAAAAGTTAGGTGGATTAGGGGTGCTAATTATCATCTTATTTCAGCTTTTTATAGGCAAGGTAAATCTCCATTTGAGAATCCATAAATTATACCAGATAAGAAGACATCCTTGTATGCTTCATCGTCGTAGAGAAACTGTGGTGGATCAGGAGAACCAATCCCAACAATGGTGCTTCCACTGCATAGAACATAGTGCAAAAGAACAATTATGGCAGAACCACAATGAATATAAATGCATAATACAGAAGATCCTTTAAGTCATTGCAGTCTGCATGGTATGAAAATTAACAAAAAATTTAGAAAAAATAAAATAAAATCAATTAGCCAAATCCAATTGTCCAAGCGGAAATGTATAGTCTTTTTTCTTTTAATCTCACTTCAAATTTCATTTCTCTACATAAACTAATATATATGCTTTGAACAAAAGAGCTGTAGTATACTTTGTATGCACTATCAGTTCATAACTAAATGTAGTGTACGAGAAACCCAGTGTCTGGAAAGACATTGCAATTGTATGTCATGCATAAAAGACATTAGTGAAGAAGCAAGCATGTTGGCAATCACTCAAACTGCGGATACAGTGGTTTTGGGGGGTAATGGCTGAGCACAATATCCATTTAGCTAGATACTGAGTACAAAATGACATTAACTTGTTCAAAAGCCTTGAGTACAGTGAACTATAGCATACATACATTGGAATCTCACCTTCCAGACATAAAAACAGCATCATATTGTCCGCGGCTGGCTGCAATTATGCGTTGTTTCAATCTTCGCAGAGTTGGAAGAACTCCGAATGCAGGAAGCTCTGAAAACAATATTATTAGAGATTCATCCAAGAGATCTATTGAGCTAATTTAACATTAAAATGCTGTTATACCCAATACACACTCCAAGCAAAAACAGAACATGAACAATCAAGACCAGGAACAGAAATAATAGAACTACAGTTAGCTTTATGTAACTCATGGACAGGATGACTATAATATGTACAAAACATCACCCAAATCTAATCTGACTTCTATCTGTTAGGTGTTACACCAACCCAATCCAAAATTGAAAAGTCATAATCAGTTCTTAGGAGGAAAAGTTCTAAAATTATATTTATCCCCAGAATAGCAATTACGAGAAAGGGCCAATCTCACTAATATGTTTCTATTTTCTGCCTTCTTCATTGGAGTGGTCAGACTTTGCAGAAATGACAAGATTTCATAATATCTCAGACATTGGGATCCAATTAACTGTAATAAGGGGCAGAGAAGATTCATTTTAACATAATACCTACCCAAATCATTGATGCATACATCTTGAGAGATTCCTTCTCTCGATATTTTCTCTAATAAAGATAGAGGATCAACCTTGCTAGTTTGATCCAAACGAAGGCTCTGTGGCAATAGAAAAACTATTATATATAGACATTATAAGGAAGCCAAAGATCTTATTGCATATACAGCATTCTGCAGGAGTTACGGAATATGCATACCTTGTAAACTTGGGCAGTGGAGCATGCTTCTTGTGGCTTTATAAGGACCATTGGAGTATCCAAAGGTATGGGTGGTGGGATATTTTTAACTTCCTAGATAACAGAAGAAGATTCATCAGCAGGAAACTCTGGACTAATCCAATACTGTCCAACAATGTACTAAAGCAGCATTTTCAAATAGGTACTTTGTATCTTTTAGACTTTTACTGATGAAAGTCACTTTGCTTTCTTTCAGGGTGGACATGATTATAGCATAACACTGCATAATTAAGACAAAAATCATTGACATTTAGCCAACACCTAATATTTTGAAATGCAATTAAAACCTAGATATGCTTTAATATTTCAAACCTCCGGACAATTATTAAACAACAGCTTTGTACAAAAGCCAGTCAATTGGTCCAAGTTCCTTAGTGCCTTCTGTAGTGAAGGTATATAGTTTTCCTAATTCATAGGTTTGTTTTATCATCAGTTAAGAATTAGACAGTACAATGAACATTTATTATCACCTTTTCAAAACAATAAATTGGCACTTAAACTTGAATTGCATGAAATGTGTTTTATTTTTCCTCCTAACAATATACCTCACCCCTTCCAGTACAATATGCAGCTCCACGGGAGAAGAAAAAAGGAATATCAGAACCTATTTCACTTGACCATTCTTGAAGTTCTTTTTCTGTTGCAATACCACCACTAAATTGATTCGCTGCCCAAAGTGCAGTAGCAGCATTGCTACTTCCTCCTCCAAGCCCGGCTCCTGTAGGAACCTTCTTATCAAGATGAATCTGTTAATCAAGATTCAAATTAACAAATGTTGATACAATATCTAAAATTAATTGCTGAATTCATTACTCCAGAAAATCACTTCAAATACCCAAAAATATTTGTCACTGCCTGTCTTCTGCCGATACAAGTTTAGAGCCTTAATTATCTGGAGATGAAAGTTTAAACTTCAGTCCTTGCAACACAGTTGCATAGCACAATTCATCAAATAGTCACTATATACTGCAGTAATTACCAGGTTTTTATCATCAAGGGGAACTCCAGCCACATTTGTTGATAAACTATCCTTGGTCCTTGAAGGCGACAAAGAGAATTTTATTTTATCCCCCAAACTTATCACCTAAATCAAACAAACATAAACAATACGTGCATTATCCTTCTAACAATCTTTATTTTTGCATAGCAAAGTTTACCAAGACCTTGGGGCATTACGGCACCCAAGACTTGGGATCGAATCTCATCTACAACAGAACATCATCGCCTTAGCGGCTCTATATAATTTTGTGTTATCAACAAAATACAGATAATTAATCATAATTTTTTCCCTAAAAACGCCAAAATTGATAGAACATACATGAAATAGAGACGCCAAATCATGATATCCATCCTCCCTTTTTCCAGTTATCCTCAAAAACACATTCACCTGTAATTTATTTCAAAGAGCACCAAATTACAATAAAACTTGCAATCAAAACAAAATTTAATTAATTAATTTGAATTAAATTAAAATTATTACACCGGAGTAAATGTCACACCTTACAAGGTGAGAAAAGAGTGAGCCTAGAAAGACCAGCTTCCTTATCCACTTCATCTGCTAATTTATTCAATCTTTCTTCTGGGTCATACACTATCTACCAGAAAAAATTAATACATCAATAAAAACGGGGATAAATTTATTCAATAATTTCAATTAAAATTAAAATTGAAAATTGAAAATAGAGATTACCTCTAATTGTCTTCTATCCCCAGATGACATGGTTTTGAAAGATGGGTACTTTCGAAGATTATGTTTCTGGTTAATAGAAGGAGACCCATGAATTTTGAAAGCAGAAAAATCATTTCTTTTTGTTGAATTGAAAGAATTGAAGAGAATTGAACTGTGAAGAAGATGAACTGAAGCCATTTTTGTTAGCAGAAGCAAAGGGGCTTCTACACTCAGTTCATCGTTGGTGTCACCAATTTTGCCAATGAAGCGTTTCTTTTCCTAGCTGTACAAAGTTTGGCCCCACCAACTATTTATTCGCCGAATTTACGAGCGAGCTCAGCTAGAAATAATCTGATTCAATGGAATTATTTGATTATCCAATGATTATGATACTATGAGTAATCTAAATTATTTATTTACCTTTGTTAAGTATGTTGGTTATGAGGTTATCGCTTTGGAATTTCTCTTTGACTCGGCATGACACTATCATGAAAATGGCAAGGCACAAGAGGCACTTATTTGGACCATGTTACACATTAAATGCTCATGCATGGACATCACAATCATTTTTAAAATGTGCCATGAGCATAATGAGTTGACCTGTCATGGCAAAGAAACCCTTGCGATTGGTTAGGCAAAATGTGAAAGATGGATTGTTGTCCATCAAAAAAATCAATAGAATTTCTCCAAGAATGTCAAGTCGATATGTTTATTATTGACCAATTTACCTTTAATATAAAAAATGTTAAAGAAAATACTAGCATTGTCCCACATGACATGTCATTGGGCAAGGTCATTCTTGGGCTCTGTGTATGAAAACTGACATGACTTTTTTAACCCATTATAGGCACAACCCACTTTTGCCAATGTCTACAGACATGACACATGACATGGCCCTATACGACTCTCAAATCGTGCCCAATTTTAACTAGAATAAACACAATTATTTTCCAAATTTTAAAGTAGTAAAAGTGTCAATGACTCAACTAACCCGTAACCAAACATTTGGTTCATGGCCTTATGGTTAGGTGATCTCAACACATACAACTAGAAATGATCAATTCCAAAAACAATCCCAAGCAAATAACCGAATTGACTATTTTGACAATTCTAATATCTAAGGTTATGGAAGAAGTTTGTTTTTACTAAAAGAGAGAGAGAAATATAGAATGGTGTCAAAAACTAACACACCTAACTAGACCCGATTTTACTTGAAAATAACCCAATTTAAAATTTGATTTATATGGGTACAACGATTTAGCGTAATTCAAACCTTAAATAACCCCTAGCAAATCCTAACTAGAGTAGGGTGTAAGAGAACATTCTATGGGCACTATTAGAAAAAAAAAATTTAAAAAAAAAAAAAAAAAACATTCTATAGGCACTCTTGGTATTTTGTGTCTGGGGATATACTCTTAGAAGTCTTAGTGCTTGTTTGGTTAGAAGGTATTTCCCTTGGAAATGGAAATTCCTAGGCAATAGCTAAAATATATTGTGTTTGGTTAGAAATTTCCAAGAAATAAAATTTTCAAGGGGAATGTAAATTCCCACATAGCATGGGAAATAACTCACCAAGCCCCCTAGGTGAGTGAATTCCTAGGAATAACTAGGAAATACTAATTTTCATGATGTCAATCAAACACTTTTATACAATTTTTATGCAATTAGCAAGGGAAAGGGGGTTACTAAATCACGTCCAGTATTTACCGGGTAACGCCCGTATTTTAAAATAAACATACTAATATACCCCTCCCTTAAATAATCCATCAAAACTTTTTTTTTTTTTACTTTTACCTTTCTCTCTCTTCACCCTTTTCACCTACCTTTCTCTTTCACCCAAATTCAACCCCCAAAATCAACCACCACCACCGGTTACCACCAAATTCAACCACTAAGAAAACTTTTTTTTTCTTAATCTTGGTGTCGACGCTACAAGGGAGGCGCAGATGTTGGGAAATCGCAAAGACAAGGCAATCGTCACCGGCGAGCAAGTGAGTCGACTTTTTTATTTTTATTTTCCGTCGATTTTGTGGAACGCCTAGAGATCTGGAATTTCCAGGCTACGAACGCCCGAAAGTTTCGGATCTCCAGGGGTTCATTCGAAAATCCAGGTGAACCACGAATGCCTGGAATTTTCAAATGAACCCCCGAAGATCCGAAACTTTGGGGCGTTCGTAGCCTGGAGATTCCAGATCTCCAGGCGTTCGTAGGTCATTAGCTGATTCAGTAGGAGTTTTGTTGGGTAAGTACTCATGTTTTCCATGAAAAGCTGAAAATTAGGAAAAAAAGAAAGTAATCTTGAACGCTAATGACCTAAGAATATGTGACTGAAATGTATCTTAGATCCGAAATGGAACTATGGAAGTATGTATGTTTAATTGACATAGCTTTTAAAAAGTGGCAGGCTCATTTGGAAATGATTTGAAAATTCTTAACCTTAAACAGAAATGAGGATTCATGGTGGGTAAAATTCAGAAGTTAGTGGAGCTAGTGATTTTAGTAAGAAAAGTTTTGTTTTATGATTTAATGTGGCTTGGTGTGGCTAAATCAGTGGAAATGTCCTCTGAGATTATGTTTTGGGATGAGAAAAATGTGTTAGCTTTTTAGGAGGCTTAGGATGTTTTACCATTTCATTTTCTGTTTTCCTTGCAAAATTCTCTTTTGGAGTATCTTTTGCTTGATGTTTAGTTTAGTTTTGAAAAAGAAGGTTTGTAGTGGTTGGAGGTATGTGGTGGTTGGAGGTTTGTGGTGGCTAGAGGTGTTGTTGTTCGGTGGCGGATTGGTGAAACGGTGGAGAAGTGGTGGCGTGCGGCGGTTCTGCATTGTTGTTGACGGTGGAGAGGAGGGCGGCGAGTATTGAGGTATGGGCTGCTGCAATTCGTGAGGTGGTGTTAATTATGGTGGTATTGTGGCGGCAATAGGTGACCGGAATTGCTTGTTGTGTGGGCTGATTGGTGATGAATTGGGTGAGTATAAGGGCTGCTGTAGGTCGTTATTGTTGGGCAACAGGGGATGATTTGGCACGAATTGGTGGTAGGTTTGAGATGGCAGCAGTGGTGGCTGTTAGTGTTTGTGTCGTGAGTTAAGGGAGGTGAAGTGGTAATGGAGGAAGGCCATGGAAGGGAAAGGAGAGAGAAAGAAGGATGGTGGTGATAGGGGAAGAGAGAGAAAGAAGAAACCAGTAGAGGGGTGGTTTTATTTTTTAATTTTTATTTTTTTTAAACTTTTTTTACAACTCAAAATTTTAAAAAAATAAAAGTAAAATAAAAAAATAAAAAAATAAAAAATAAAACCAATCATGAAGTGCCACGTAGCACATGTAACCGGTTGTATCGGTAGGTGACCTGCAAGGTGTGATATGGGAAGAAGGGGTATAAAGGTTGGATTATTCTGGATTAATCCAAAAGTTGGTTTATTTTGGGAGAATGAGGCAAAGGTTGGATTATTCTTGTTAAATTTTCCTATTATTATTATTATTATTATTATTATTATTTTGAACTAAAGTTAGGCTTATTTTAATTTTCTTTTGAAAAAAATTAAGATTGAGGGTTTGGGAACACGACACGCTTTATCACGGCGCTTGAACACGTTGGTTAAGAGGGAGAGAGACCATTATCGTCTTCAGCCTCGTACTGAGACGGCACCAGACCCTGATGGTTGCATGGTGAGTTCGACCTCTGAGGCATAAGATCATCATTCGGGTTCTCAGGGGGTTAGGTCGGGTTTCGAGTCTGAGCATGAGGAGTCTGAGTCACCGGGCCCCAAGTACTCGTACAGAGGAGGATAGGGTTTATCAGGCGATGACAACGATGACGAGGAGGATCCTGATGACATTTTTAATACGTATAGGGGTGCCGGTGGGAGATTTGTTATTAATACTCAGGAGACTGGTCGTAGTCGGACTCCGGTACAGGATAGCTGGTTAGTGACTACGCCGATGGTCGGCGGTCCAGAGGATGGAAGCATCATTCCTAGCTATGGTGAGATACTCTCACCCTTATGTATCATCCCCTGACGTACCTCAGGTCAGCGGTCTCCCCGATAGGACTGACACTGATTATGTAAGTATATTTTCCTTTAGTTTTGTATTTATTATATGAAATTTTATTATTTTTTAACATTCTATAATGTTTGCAGTGGGTTGGTCACTTCGTTGAGTTCACACAGCGTGCACTTGTCGAGTCGCATGGGCCCATGTCCCGTGAAACTAAGGCCATGGCTGCACAGGCCCTTCGTGATTGGGATGCTATGCGAGGGTTATGATTTGTGTTTAGCTAGACACCTTTATTCTTAGTTGAACACTTTAATTATTGGTTGGACACTTTTATTATTTTGTTTTTGTAATTGTAATGGGACACTTTTATTATTCGTATGGACATGAGCACTTTGATTTAAATTATTGCAATTGTTAGTTGTGTTTTTTTTATGGCATTTTTACTAATATAATAATAATAGTAATAATAATAAAACAAAGTTCAAACATCATTATTTAAGTTTTGAACAACGCATTACATCTATCATGATGCAACTAATCTTTCCTACAAACTAATTCTACACTGGTATCGTTGCTCCCATCCAATAACGCTAGGTTCACGAGCCCGATACCAAACATCTGCAATCGGGGGAATCGAATGGTCTTGATCAAGCTATAAAAGAACAAAATGCGACCCACCCACAATACCTATAACAAGCTCTCGAGCTGGTGCAGTAGCATTGTCGGGGGCCCGCAATGGTAACACAGTGATGCAAGGATAGTAGCTCGTCGGTGTCAATCCAATGCCATAACAAATCACAGTTGCATTGTACAAGGTAGCAATTAAATACAAATCCTGAAAGGCTACCATCCAATGTCTTTCCCCACATGGGCCACTGCTCCAATGAATACGTTGTATCTCAAAATCCAAACCACCTGGCTCGTAATAAATCCTCCTGTATAAGTGTGGATAACCGGTGATCTCATTAGCCATGAATTGTCGAGCTAATCTCCAATGCTCTTGATCACACATGAAGAAGGCGGCAACACAATGAAAGCCGCAATTACCATCACCAATGACATCATTCCACCCGGTTATGTAAGGCAATATAGGTCCGGGGAGCAAGTGAGCGTACCTACATTGTTCGATGTCGAATCTGTTTCGGGGTTTTCTGATGTCCTGCGGGAGAGTTACAACACCGAGACTGGAACCGGCCGCCTGTACCTGCAAAATAACGGAGACTCCTGGGAGCTCCGCCTCCAACGGTCAAGTTAGTACTTGTTTGAGGAGTAATAAGTGCGGAAATTAAAGGGGGAAGATCTGGTTCCTCTAGGGGAGGAGTGATCAGTGTGTTCAGACTTCTCTAGGTGAGAGTAATTAATTGCTTTTTTTCCTTTAATGAGGATTAATTAAGTATTTATAGTCTTGAGAAGCGTGCCACTCTCTAGGTTTAGGGTAAACCTAGGGCTGACTGGGCCTCTAAACAGGATTGGGCCTTGTTGGCCGGTTTTCCCATTTGGCATGGGTGGACACGTGGCGTGTCTCGATTGGTCCGTAGAGGACATATCTGTGATTGACACGTGGCAGGCTCCTATTGGCCTACGTGAAGAACACGTGGCGGAACCTGGCTGGTCCACTTGTCAGACGGTGATTGGTGGATAAAAATCCCCTAATCATTTGCCCCTCACAGGTGGCACGTGACTGGTCACGTGTCACCTGTGACAGGTGCCGCATGGTGACAGGCGACGGCCTGCTACAGGTGTCACCTTGCAAATGGCCGAGAGATTTTCCCGCCCAAATTTTGAATTTGGAAGCGACCCTTCGCCTTCTCACTTTGCCTATATAAGGAAGTGCTGACTTCGGTCATTTTTCACATTTGAGAACTTTGCGAGAGAACATTCGGACCCCTGAACTTGCTCTGACACTTTGGACTTTTGTTGCCTACCGCCTGCTCTGACAAGCCGTTTGCAAAGGATTTCAGAATCTCATCAGTCGTCACTCGTTCAGGTAACCGTCGGTTCTCTTATTCTTAATAATTTTTTTTTTCTTATTATTATTTTTTGAAATGGCACCATGGAAGCACACGACACGACCTAAGTTAGTGATCAGCCGGTCACCGGGGACGGCTGAATCTAGGACTAGGAGTGCCGCCTGCCCTTTTCTGGACCCATCTTTGCCCTTTATACAAAGTCCGACTGTATCTGTGTCTATGCAGAACGTGATGGCCAGAACAAAGAAGACTGCTAGGATCTCAAACTCGGACGGCTCCTCCCAAAGGGTGCCCATTAGTGAAACATCTGACCAGGCGCCAGATGTAGAAGGGAAACAAGGCGGCTGCCAAGCCGACAGTTCTGAGGGAGGGGGCAAGGTGGTCCCTTCCCATTTTACCGTTGATATGTCCAACTTTTCTCCTGCTCCTTCTGAGGGAGAGGAGGCGGGCCCCTCTGGGAGAGGGGAGGAGTCGTCCTCTTCGGACTCGTCAGAGGACGAGTCCGAGTCCAGCTCTTCTGGCCACGCTTCTCCAGGCTCAGAAGAAAGAAACAGCCGCCTACAAGAGGCGAGACTTTCTCATGCAGTTGAGAAGGGGGGCAATTGGGCGGAGCCGTCCGCCTCTTACAGAGAGGAAAACACCCCCTACTACTGCACGGTACCCCGGGGCCGGATCGCGGCCATGAAAGACAAAGTGGAGAGTTTATAGCTAACCACAGAATGGGCCCCGGATTTTTACTGTTCGTGCCGGATCCAGAAGACACTGTCGTCTGGCCGGCTGGTACCAGCTATGATGGCGGCTGCTTTGGCTGCTATGAGGCGGCCATCAAAGCTGGACTGCGCTTCCCATTACATCCGGCTGTTCAGCGGATTTTAGATGGGTATGATTTGGGGTTATGGCAGTTAGCCCCCAACTCTTGGGTAAACGTACTCGGCTATGTGGCCGGGTGCGAAATGTACGGGGTGGAGCCAAGCTTTGAGGCTTTCGCCCACATGAACTATCTCAGCCGGACCCCTAAGTCGGGCGGCACCGGCTGGTATCAATTAACAAGCCATAGGGGCTACCTCATGACGAGAGGTAAGGCGAACAAATGGAAGGATTGGCAGAATACCTTCCTTATCATCGAGGGTTCAGACACGGAGCTGAACAAACGCTTTAACAAGTGGAATAGGGACCCGCCTCTTCTCGCAGGCGGCCGCAGCATGCCGCCTGTTCCCCCAAAGGCTAAAAAAAGAGATCCTAGACAAAGGACTCTTCAAAGTAGAGACTAGGGTGAACTCTACTTCAGGGGTACGAGAGCAAGTACCCCTGAACTGCGTCCCGAGCTTCAAGTGGCTCTATGACGAGTACTTTTTGGCCGCCTGTGGCCTCAGCAGTCGGTGCTCTAGAGGTAGCCGGCCTGACAAATACTCTGTTTTTCACGCCTTGTTTACTTGGGATTTTTACTAACTTTGCTGTTTATTTTTTGCAGCTGACGCCATGAGTAAAATAACAGCATCCAAGACTGCGGCGGCCATGTTGCGGGCCTCTCTCATGCAACAGTCTTGTACCGACTCCCCCAACAAGGGGGCACCCTTGGTAGGCCTCGAAACTCTTCCTCTTTTAGGAGTTGTTGTCTTATGCATATACTAACTCTTTTTTTTTTTTTTCAGTCGGGCACTCCAAGAGCTTCTTCCTCGCAACAGCCGGACCCCAAGGCCCGGAGGACGGCTGTTGCAAGCTCTCCTGGGTCTTCCAGGAAAACAGTGGCGGCTGAGAAGCAGCCGGCCACTTCTTCTAAAACTCCGGCGGGGCCGCCTAGAAGTATGGAAAATTACTTGTAAAACTTTTACACTTGCTTCCTTCTTGACTAGGTCTAACTTGCTTTTTTACGCTTGATGCAGCCGGCCCTCAGGAGCCTGACATGGTAGAGGTAGCCAAGTCCATGATCAAAGCAGTTCCTCCATCTGAAAGGGAGGCGGTCAGGGGTGTCGGCACCCTTGACCTTGATGGGATTGCAAGGGTCCTTGCTGAGGTATACTTGGCATATTTTTGAGTATTTGAATTCCAGGACGCCTGTTTTCTTTTTGTTTGGAAACTGACGCCTGTTCCCCTTTTTACTTAGGCCCTGCTCCGAGTGAACGGCCTTCGCAAGCCGCTTGACCGGAAGAACAAAGAGGTAAAGGCTGCAAAAGCTATGGCCGCCTCTGACTGTGATAAGGCAATGTTTCAAATTGCCCAAAATGAAGTTCTGACAATTCATATTCTTTATTATCAGGCGCAGGCTGCCGCCGCTCTCCGGGCTCAGTTAGAGGCGGCCCAGAAGAGGAACAGCGAGCTGGAGGCGACCGTCTCCAATCTCAAGGCCGAGCTTAAACCTCTCCGCCAAAAGATACTCTCATACGATGCCATGGAGAAATCCTTGGCTAATGTAAAGGAACGCCTGGTGACCCAGGAGAAGAGTCTAACTAAAGAGCTCTCGGAGAAGGCTGAGCAAGAGAAGAGAGAGCTCGTCCGAGAGATGATTGAAGACTCTTCCCAGATCCAGCGCATGACCTGGAGCCGCCTCTTCCCCAGTGCCGACTTTGCCTCGTGGGAAAAAACGTACCGCCAGTGTTCTGAAATATATAATCAAGAGATCCTGGCGGCTGCTGAGGACGAGGCGTTGGAGGAGGCCTTGGTTGAGGATGAGCAGCCGATAGTGGTGCTTGTGCCACTTGGGGGCAAGGCATCGAAAAAGGATGCAGCTGAAGCCGAGTCCAGCAAGAAGAGTGCTGACCAGGCGGCAACTGCTAATACTGAACTGCCCCCTTCTTAAGCTTTATGTATTCTTTCCACGGCCTGCGTGCCGTTTGCTTGTATTTACCCGGCCAGGGGGCCGGGGTTTTGAATATTTTATTCTTCTTTAATGCCATTTTTGCTTCAAATTTGTCTAAGTGTTGAATATTTGATATTGAATTGTACACTATATCGACTGTTTTGCATGGCCGATTGTAGACAGGTACGGATGGTCCGCCTATGCCCCTGGACGACTGGTTGTCTGTTTCCAAGCTGGGCGATCAGTCGGCCATTTATTCAATCGGCATTGTTCCCGTTTAAAAGATTGGATTACCTTTAGGCAGGCGGTCCTGTTATTAGTAAAATTAACCAAAGGGTTTTCTTACTTAGACTTGTAGGCAGTCTATGACTGGATTACCCTTAGGCAGGCGGTCCTAATCGCCGAGTGATTGAGTAGTAGAGGTATCAAGCGGTGGGTACCGTTTGTTCCCCTTTATTCGCCAATGTTTGTTGGCTATTAACTCGAAGGGAAACCTAGTAGGAATAGTAGTTTGAATGTCCTTGTTTGCCAAAAAACAGGTGGTCTATTCAAACTTTCTAGGTTCCATACCAAGTTTGGGAGAGTGTATGAGTTAACGTTGGTGTTACTCAGTCGTCCTCATTCTAGATTGAGTA